TTGATTAAATATCCAGCAAACATCAAGGTTTATGCAGGTGCCAGTCTGAGTTCACTTCTATACCTCTTTAAGAGACTGCACATTTACCTCTATAGTTCACTTAATAAGAATAGGTACTTGTTTGAATAGCCTCAGTTCATTCGTTACAAGATTCTTAATTACCATACAACATGATATTTACTAAGAAACAAAACCATCTTAAAAGAGTTTAGAAGTACTTTTAAAATACAATTTCAGAAAGCATTTTGTTTGATTTAATTGACCTTCAGATTTCAATTAGTTTTTTTTGAATATCCCAGTTAATCAAAGTTTTACCTTCTTTGAACTAAATTTGATCATTCTTCTACATATCCACTGTGTCCTTACTGTGTGCAGAGATGGGCACAATCAAGGTAAAGTGTCCCTCTAATCCCAAAGTTCTTATTTTCCTTAACACCACCATATTTTCCCTCTGAATAATTTGGATATTCAAGCAAAAAATAGTTTAATTTAATTTTTATTTGTTTTGTTAATTAAGACTATATTAAATTACATAGAAATTAGCTGATTTGAACATTTATTTTTAATTTTGCAATTATGGCTTATTAAATGTAACTTTTTGCTAATCTAGTTATTTTTTAAATTTCTTTTTAATAATAGTTGACATACAGTGTTAAATTATTTTCTGGTGTACACCAGAGTAATTCAACATATATACCTTGAAAAATGATCTCTACAATAGGTCTACTACCCCCTGACACTGTACATAGTTATACTGATATTAATGACTCTGTTCCCTATGTGGTACATTATATCCCCATGATTTATTTTATAACTGGATGTTTGTAGTTCTTAATACCCCTTCCCTTTTCTGCTCAACCTCCTACCCTCTACCTTTCTGACAACCATCAGTTTGTTCTCTGTATCTATGAGTTTGTTTCTTTTTCATTTGTTTTGTTTTTTAGGTTCCACATAAAAGTAAAATCACATGGTATTTGTCTTTTTTGTCCAACTTATTTCACTTAACATAATACTCTCTAGCTCCATCCTTGTCATAATCACAGATTTCATTCCTTTTTTATGGCTAACTAATATTCTATTGAATGTAATTTGTTTTACACTTGCAAGATCAAGGACAAATTAAAGAGAAAATCATAGATAATTTAGGTCAACAAAGAACTTGGGCAGGACAATGTATATATTGTTTTTCTTTGTGAAAGTGGTCACTAGCACAGTGTTTGGCATGTAATGCAGTCAATAATCATCTGTAGAATAAATTTGTGAAAAAAAAGAATTTGAAACATAGATAAAAGTTCTTTATGAACATTTTAATAATTGGTTCTGTGGTAGTGGCCAATGGAGGTAGGGCAATGAGGTGGTGGAGGTCTTGATTTCAATAGGTTATTTGAAATTTGATTCACCTGTGCACTTCACAGCTTAACTGTAGAAAAACTTCTTTGTATTAACTTCACTTTTCCTAGGGAAATAATGCAGTTCTGTTATTTAAAAAGTACTATTTTGCTGAAGGACTTCTTATAATTCAAAGGAGGTTTTAAAAGTAGCCCAGAAAACTTACTATCCAAAATGTGTCATAGTAAATGTACATGCATTTAAATTCCTGTAGCTGGGACCTATGCTGCTTACTGACTCTGCTGTAAGGATGCTCTGCTCGGGGTCACGATCTTGTCTGAACAAGAACTCACAGGAGCAGTCAGTCCCTCAAGAAGAAACTAGATCTCCTGATGAAAAAACTTCCTACAATGTTCGTTTCAAATGGTTCTGTTCCATTATAGCTGGAGGAATTTTTCAGACAAAACAATAAATTAGAAGTCAATTAAGAAAGCCAAAACAGTCTGACCACCATACTCCCGTCTTCATGTGGGATTTAGAAGGACTGAGTGACTGCTAGTAGTGTGTGGTCCTCAGGTTCTGAACACTTCAACCCCGTATGACAATTAGGTGACCCTGGAAAAATCTAGAGCCTGAACAGCCATCTTTTCTCTTAAGAAAGATCTTCAGAACATGAATCTTGAGGATGAAAAGAGAAAGTTTTTAGATGAAATAATTTTAGTGGGTGGAATCAGTGGGCTCTCACTCATGTGAAGACTCTTACGGTGGAATTGCTATAGGTTTCATTCAATGTGGTGTGTGTGTGTGTGTGTGTGTGTGTGTGTGTGTGTGTGCCACACCAATAAAAATGACATGCTTTTTCTTTATTTTCTTTGACAATGTCAGGGGGAAAAATAGGTTACATAAATGCAGGACATTTAAACCTACCTGTAAAAATTGGATAAAGCAATCACAGCTATCTCTATTTTAGGAAAATGGATCTCTGGGAAACAGTAGTAGAAGTCAGGTCAAGGTATAATGTATTATATACTTTTAAAATGTATTCCGAGAAAAAAAGTGTTAGCCACAATAAATATACCTGCTACTTTTAAAAATGAAATCCCTCACACCTTTCTAATGCCTATCCTTTTATGTAGCAGATAACATTCTATAGCCTTTATTTTGAAATAAAGCTTTGGGATTATCTAATTGAATGAAAGAGCATTCGAGCCCTTTTAAGAGCTAGGCACCTGTAGACAAATGTAGATTTTATTTGTAAGCAAGTCTTTTTTAATTAAAAAAATAATAGAAGCAATAAATGAGCTCTTCTAGAGTGATGTCAGCACAGCACCCTTGGCCTAGACATAGGCTGCAGATTGTGGGATGAGAGAAGAACACCTGCTTCCGTCTGCTAGAGATCAAATCCAGAGAATCACAGTAGCCTTGTGGACGTTCCAGATAGATAGTTGCATAGCTCCCAAACAAAAAGCTTTATTGATTGAATTACACTTGAGTGGAAAATGTCACACATACAGTAAATGTGCTGTTGGAGATGCTCTGGAACTATTTTTTTCTGTTGTCAGTGTTTTGCACAAACAACATTCCATGTGGCCGTATCCACAGATCTGTGTAGATTGCCTTGCAGTGTTTAGACTTTCAGACTGGTATTGTGATCTACACTGCAGAAAAAAGTTTGGGGTAATTAGAAAAATCAAGGACTTTGAATTCCAGGGTAGAACCTCTTGGTCTGACATAGAAAAAGTGTATCATATACAGCAGGTCTTCAGATAACATCGCTTTGTTCCGTGTTGTGTCATTATAACATTGACGAGGAAAAAATATTGAATCCTGGCCAGTGTCACTCTGTGTGGTGTCTGCCATTGTCCCATGTCTGTGTGGGTTTTTTCTGGGGATCCTAGTTCCCCCTGGATCCCAAAGATATGCACGTGAGGTGAACTGGTGTGTCTAATTGTCCCTGGTTGCCCTTGACCCTGAACTACAATAAGTGGGTTGGAAGGGAATTCTCTTACTTGTTTTCATTAATCTTTCTTAAATGTCTGTATAGCTCACATTTCTTTTCATGCTTAGTATTAGAAGGATTTGGTTCTTTATTTAGAAGTTTGTGATGTTTTTGTGATGAGAAAGTATGCCATAGGCACGTAACTTGTGTTTATAGCAATTAACCTATGGCAACATTGGTTTCCTTGCATTCCCTCTCACTTAAGTTCTCATTGTCCAAGAACCTATTGACAACATTAAGTGAGGACTACTGTACATATATTTAGTGTTTTTATATATAGGCATCAGATATTTGGTATTTCCAAGCCCAGGAATTCTGTACAAATGGCGCTCCCTGAAATTGTGAAACCTGGTGGTCTGGTTCAGCATAGGAATTCTAATGCTTTTGGGGGTTGTGGACTCATGTTTGATGAAAGCTACAGATCTTTTCCCTAGAAAAATATTTTGGTTCTCCACTATCCCTATGCATGTAAGGATTGTGAATATAAGGAATCTAAAGCTAAGTTCTCATTTGGTGGAATTGGTCATTGATCACATGTTTGTTTGACTCCATGCTCAGCCTCTTCCCCCATACCATAATCCTTCTGTTTCTACAACGAAGCCATTGTCGAGCTCACGCTGGCCTACTTTGTCAGCCTCATCTCTTGCTCCTTCTCCCGTGCATCCTGAGTAGACGTCACACTGCATTACTCACAGTAGTGTCATGCTGACCTGTGAACACGCTTTTCCTGCTGCTCTCTGAACATCCCTCATCACCTGCCTCACTACCTCAAGACTCAGCTTAAAGGTCACCTTTTTTAGGAAGACTTTCCAGCCCTCTTTCCCGCAACTTCCATCCTCTTAGATCCCCCTCCTTTACACTATCATTGTACTCTCTGCATTCCACAGTCATAATTCTATTTACCAAGCTGCACTGTAATGGATGCCAACTTGTCTACTTTTTCTACTATTTCAAGGGCAGATATTGTGTGTGTGTGTGTGTGTGTGTGTGGTTGTGTGTGTGTGTGAGAGAGAGAGAGAGAGAGAGAGAGAGAGAGAGAGAGGGAGAGAGAGATTTGGCTGAAGTATTGCTAGTGATTCAAAAAAGTAATTTTTTCTTCCCAGCATCAGATATAGGCTCTTGTATCACAGTGTGAAGATATATTTTTCTCCTAAAGAAATCTAACACATGCAATATTAATAGAGCCATATGCTAGCCTTCTCTCAGTACTATGGATACCACTGATAACACTGAAAAATGTATGTTTGTTTCAAAGGAATAACATGACCCCATTTCTCTGATCATAAATTCATGTTTTACTAGGCAATTGTTCCTTAGCAATACAGTTCTATTTTCTTGATGGCTTAAGAAGAGAACATCTTATAAGTTAATTTTTAACTACAATTTTCAAAGTAATTTAAAAGCAGTAACAGAATTTGAATATAATAAGAATTCCTGCTATCTTTTATATGTATTGATATATATTGATATTATTTTACTAAGTACATTATAAACAGAAATCAGCATTACAGAGATGAATAAAGACTGTTAAACAAGCAAGTATTTCTTAATAAAAGAGAATATAGGAGGGCAGGGGTTGACGGAATTCTTGTTTTTTCCTTTATAGTACAAGACCTCATTTTATCACACACTGAAAGTATTATTGCTACTTAAATGTCTGTTTCTTCCCCAGGCCAAATTTACAGATGACTGCAAGTTCAGGGAGCGATTTCAAGAAAACAGCTACAACACCTATGCCTCGGCAATACATAGAACTGAAAACACGGGGCGCGAGTGGTACGTGGCCCTGAACAAGAGAGGGAAAGCGAAACGGGGCTGCAGCCCCAGGGTGAAACCCCAGCACATCTCCACCCACTTCCTGCCAAGGTTCAAGCAGTCTGAGCAGCCAGAACTCTCTTTCACAGTGACTGTTCCTGAGAAGAAGAAGCCACCCAATCCCGTCAAGCCAAAGGTCCCGACCCTGACTGCGCCCAGGAAGAGTCCCAACACAGTGAAATACAGACTCAAGTTTCGTTTTGGATAATGTTCCTCTTGGCCTTGTGAGAAGCCACAGGCCCCCCTCAGGAGTTTCCACAGGTGTCTTTACAGCTCTGGAGAAAAATGTGGACACGGCTTCAGCTCCACTACACCGCAGGGAAGTCAGGCCATTTGTTTCAGTGGGACTGAAACAAAAATGTTTGCTGGCTGGAACTGAACTGGAATTCTTTGTACGGATACAGGGAGCACACTGCCTCAGTTCAGCAAGACAGGAAGCTTTTTGCTTTATGCTTAGTGCATACTAGGACTCTGTTTTCAAGAAGTTAAACAGTGTGGACGATGTATTTTTCTGACTTTTACAGATCAACCCAAAAGAACATACATGACATGTGTTTATTTTGTTTGTTTGTGTGTGTTGTTGTTTTTTCGGTTTCTAAAGAATATTTTGATGCAGATAAAATATTTTATTAACTTTTGTTTTTTGTGTTTTTTTTTAAAAAGTACCTCTGCATTGAGCATATTTTCTTACTTTTATTATTTTAATTAATGTGACATAAACAACCATTTTAATGAATTATAAGTGTGTTTATAGCCCATATGTAACGTGAATTTCTTTTCCATTTTCCTTATTCACTGCACTTTTTATTTTTATTATATATTTTTATCATACCTCAGATAATGTAAATTTAGTTCTACATCTTAAAATGTTTAAATTTTCTTCAGTACACCAAAGCCTCAGCTTGGGTTTGTGTGTGTGTGTGTGTGTGTCTTTGTGTCTGTGTGTGTGTGTGTGCGCGAGTATATGCATTCATGACATGTGGAGTCGTTCCCCTTTTGTGGCGGGGCTATAATGGGTTAGAATAGTTGGAGATAAAGAAGAGGATTAGAGGTACAAGTATACTAAGTTTGCAGCATTTATTGAGATCTAATTCTGCCCTGACTTCATTTCTCCTTTCATCTACTCCCTGCCCTCATTCTTGAGCAGCTGGAGGAAAACATTTTATTCTGTCCATCAAGCATACACTATGAAACCGGAGTACTTAAAACACCTCCTCTATGACCCTCTGCCGTCCCCACTGTATAGATCCACGGGGAGCAACCCACTTACCGGAAACACAGGGAGAACTGAAGGAGATGAATCGTGTGACAGTTATTCAGGTCCAGTCTCATCGTCAAAAATATTCGTATTACTCAGTAGAACACTTTTTAAGTTTCCTATCCTAATGGAAATAATTCCAGTGAATAGATTTGCTCTTTTATAAGGAAAATTTCTGATGTATATTTTTAAAAAGCCAGCTGTGTGATATGGGGAACTTAATTTGGGAATTTGATAAATTGAAAAACGGCATTTAATTGTCAAGCCAAATACTGAATGTTGGGCATAAATCAGAAAATTTGGCTTAAGAGAGTTTACATATTTATTTATTTTCTTAGGTAATCATTTTTATGGAGTTCTATTGTATACAAGTGTTTATCTTCCAAAATATTGCAATAAAAAGGTATAGCTATTGTTTAGAAGTATGTCTTTCATAGAAAGAGCAAGAGTTCACAGGAGGTTTGTGGTTTCTATTTAAGCATGCTTCTTTTCTTTTAAAGAATACTGATAATCTTTCTAAAAAACAAAGTATACTTTATTTTGGTGCACAAATGCAAAGTGGAAACTTGTCAAAATTGAACTTACTACAATTTAAGCAGCTTGCTTTGTTTTAATAAAAACAAACTATACCCACATATGTGTAATATACATAATTATATACAAAATCCATCCATCAACTAAAACATCATGCATATACTCTAGTATAGTGTTTTATTATAAAGCCAATAATCTAATTGAACATTCTCTGAATTTAATGCATGATTTTAAAAAATATAAAATGAATTACCAAACTTTATGTTAAAATTCTCCTGGGTTAATGAAACAATGGACATTTGCAAACAAAGATATGTCCAACTCTTATCCAATTTCCATATCACTTTATATCACAGTAGTATAAAGCTAAATATAATACTCTAGTTTATTCCAATGTATTGTTAAGAATTGTGCACTGTATATAAAGTTCTTAGTACACATAAAAATTAAAGTTGTAGAGCAGGAGAACAGCAGACAAGATGATATTAATGATGATTAATAACCAAGTAAATTAATGCAAGGCATATATTTCATTAGGCTAATGTTGCTGATAGTTTGTGTTAACTAAAAAATAATAGCTTATCTTGTACCCCTAGTTTGATTTGATTAGTAAATGAAGGTTAAAGTAAGATAGCTACCACATATATATTATGCAAGTCAGGACTCATTCATTTCAAAATTTAGCACCAAGCTAAAAATTTAAAAAAGCACCTTTAAATTATACTTACCTTTAATTTACTGGCCATACATAATTACATTTAATTAAAGCTCACTGAAGCAAAAAGTACCTAAATTAATTAATTGAATGAACTCATCATGTACAGAAAACATGTAGAAATATGATTCCTTACTAATAACTAGAACTTTCTAAGGGGGTCCGTATGTGGTTTTTCATGAGTTTTTAAAGTAACTGGACCTATCTGACATCAAATAAAGTTGTTTAATTGTGATTATGTTCATCTAAAAATGTCAGTGAATTTTACATTAAAATTTAAGTACCTAATTTGCCTAGAATATTGATGAGAGACACCTTCACACTGATATTTCAATTTAATTATATTATGTTTAAGTTATGATATTCTTTATTTGGAACATCAGTAAAGGCAAGTAAGATTTTTAATAAGATATATAACACTGTGGTTTTTATTTCACAAAATATACCATCCCTTCCTTCTACTAATTTGAGAGTGTGGATACGTAAAAATTACCTTTGTTCTTCTAGCTGTGTTATAGAGGCCTAGCAGTTCAAAATCATGTGACAACAATAGAGGATCCTAACAAAAGTTATTTCCGAATTTAACAATCATATCATCTTAGATGCTTTTATTTCATGTGATTGAAAATAAAACCATAAATCTGATCGATAAATTTCTATAAAATGATCTTGAAATAAAAACTTGAACAATTTTCTTACTTTAACATTTTTTTAGTCTTCCAAAGGAAACAGTAACTAAGCTATGACTTCACACATTTTCAATAACAAAATGAAAATATTGCACTAAGCCCAAACTTGAATTCTGGCCCCATTTTTACACTTGCAGAAAGCTGCACAGTAAGTTTGAAAAATAAAAGCAATATTATAGAAATGACTGTAATGCGAAGCAAACAAAAATAACTCATCAAAGGAAATCTTTAATATTTACTTCATTGCTACATTTAAATTTTAATAATGTAAAATCAATTTTAAGCCAATTGATCTTTTAAAAAATTTTGAAAGAAACTCTTAGATAAATAAACATGCCCCATATTTTCTTTTTTAAAAGTCAGTCCAATTGCGCTGACCAGTGTTTGAAATAAGATTATCAGATGATGCCAAAACCGGTTTGGCTCAGTGGATAGAGCGTCGGCCTGCGGACTGAAGGGTCCCAGGTTCGATTCCGATCAAGGGCATGTGCCTGGGTTGCGGGCACATCCCCAGTGGGGGATGTGCAGGAGGCAGCTGGTCGATGTTTCTCTCTCATCGATGTTTCTAGCTCTCTATCTCTCTCCCTTCCTCTCTGTAAAAAAATCAATAAAAATATATTTAAAAAAAAAAGATTATCAGATGATTAGGTGTCGAAGAAGTTACCTCCTACAACTTACTCTCTGGGAGGAAAGGGAGGAGAACCCAGCCTGAGCTGAGTCAGTGGGGCCATTTTAACATCTAAGAATCATATGCAACATTCAGACAGACCATAGGACAACTAAGCTACAAGTCATCCATCAGTATTTCAGCAATTTTATGTAATATAAATATTAGATTGGATATCAAGAGCCCTTACTTTTTATTTTATTGTGTTGTGTCCTGGCTCTGCCATATAATTATCACAAGTCATCTTTTAGGTCTTGCTTTGTCCTTCACCATATGATCTCCAATGTCAATTCCAGCTTTGAATCAATGACAGCATAAGTCCCGAGTCTCAAAATGTTGAGGTATCCAAAAAAGGACATTATTGTCTTCAGGTGAAACTGGATAACCACACACACACACACACACAAAATGTCAATGAAGGTCCTAACATATTTGTAAAGCCTTGTCTTAGATTTTAAAAAATTAGGTAAGAGTGAGATTATATCAAAAGATTTTAAAAATGAGGCCCAATTCCCAGCTTAGCATTTTATGAGGGACTTAATATATTTGAATTAATCAGGAGGGGAATGGTCAGAGTAATGTCGTTATTGATAAGAGTTCTAGAACCTTAGTTAAACATGAAAGATTTGACCATCTCTATTTTGACTGAGATCCCACTCTATCCATAAGCCTCCTAGAAATTCGTGAAGAAATATCAGTAATCTCATCTTGACACACTCCAAATAAGGATAGCTAGTAACATAACTTTCCACCACCCTTTCCACCCTTCCCTTCCCTTTCTGATAATTCAGTATTTTCTGAGTTCTTGCTCTGCACAAGGCACTCAGCTAGTGAAACATTCCTTGATTTCCTCAGAACTTGTTCACTCCATTTCTTGTGCATGTTAACATCAATGTACTCTCAGATTTTGAAATTCCAGAGGAAATATAGCTGTCCTCACCTCATTGCACATTGCCCAAACCAGGCTCAAGCTAATAAAAGGGACTTATGACATGCTCTTCCCTGATAGTAATTTTGAATGTATTCCTCTGACTTAAACACTCTGTGGCGGTATTGGATACGCTCCTAATTCACAGAACTGGGTCTGTAGTTATACTCATACGTCCCTAGAATATTTTCGGTGCTCCAAAATGCTTATAGGATGGCTATTGGCGCTGAATAAAACTCATTTGAAGATGATGATTAAGACTAAGAGAATTTCATGTAAGATATGAAATGGCTCCTACAACAAGAATAAGAACACCAGGTAACCTCGTCACTATATTTGGACTTCTCAAATGCAAATCCTGAGTCCAAACTAAAAATTTCAGGCACTCATATTTTTGGAAGCTGCATTTAAGTATTCATAAATTAGTCAGCATATGAAACCTCGATTTCATTGTCAATCTTAAAAATAAGTGACTATGCAAATCCTGATGATTTTGTCATTTGTAAGCCAAACGAGAAGTCCAGTGGGATGTCGGTAGATCTGAATGGGAAAGTGAAGACATTTCTTTTTGGTCATATTTTTCTAGATGTGTTTTTTCCTTTTTTTCAGATACACTCTCTCAGGGAAGACTGCCTCTTTCTGTACCCTACAGAGAGATTAGTGAATGCATAATCACACAGTAACAGGTCCGGTTCCTAGGCGTTTCTCATTAAATTCTCTGTCATTCCCTCTGTGGGAAACTGGGAAACTTATCAGATTTTCATTCAGGGAGGTGAATTTCTGCTGAGGAGGCAACACAATGGCTTTTACTC